GATTTGATCCCCGGACCGCTCGCGTGGGAACCGTGCCACTTGCCACCACACCACTTCCGCCCTCAGAAAAATCCCACATCTGTGGCAACTTCCCGGTGTGGCGTAGTTGAGCAGTCCTTCCATGTACGGGTTTTTTGTATCGGGTAGTTATTGGTTTCTTGAGACCTAACTCTTCGCGAGGTTGTAGGTGGTTCATTTATAACTGACTTCGACGGAATCGCCTCCTTCGAAACCTGGAAGGATCGAAGCGATTTATGACTACCCGACCAAACGCTTCATCTATTCTTCTCAACCTAGACACCAAAGAGGTATCCCGTAATCGTAAGGTGGACCACTTACTGTAGTTCAGTTCGGCTATCAAGGCCACCCGGAAGCCATCAACGGGACATGCCCTTTCAAAGAATTCTCGACCGTAGTCCACCCTGTAGCGAAGTGGAAAGAGACAGCAGCACTGCTCTCATGGACTAAAAAATGATCAGTGACTTGAGCTTTTGATTTTCAGACATCTGTGGGATCAGAGAATACTGGCTCTCTAAAATGGTTATGTTCTTTATTCTTTTTTACTTTATTTATTTATTTATTTATTTATATGCACGCTTAGGTGCGCTACATTAATTCACATCTTAACATCAGTAAAACTAGGAACACAAAACATTGTTAAGTGAATCAGCTAGGCAGCAGGCGAGATAAAGAGATGATTCTCCAGGACTAAATTTGGAAAAGCAGAGATGTCGATAAATGCAGAATTAGGAGATTCCTGTAGGCCCAATTGAAGTTGTGTCTCGAACAGAAATGTGTTCAGTATTCGTCAGTCAATATTTAGAAGTCAATGGGCGGATAGCGCTAGGGATAACGCCACTCCTAGACGGGCACGAAGCATACGCATGGAATCAGAAACTGAATTTTCGGATGTTAGGTATTCCCTACCCCTAAATTCAGCTTCTGACCCGCCACAGATCATGTCCAATCTTGGAACAACTGTTTTTGGGTAACTACAGTAATTATAGGCTTCTCAGTGAGGTTATATCTGGAGGTCTCCTTATCAAGCGCTTGGAACTGATTCACGACGAATAAATGAATTTACAGGACACAAAGCACTATCAAGATATACTCCATTTACGCTCAAAATCTGCATTTAAAAAACATTCGCATCCGCGTAGGGTGTCTCAGCGCGTGCTCGTCTCTTATTAATCACTTTCAACAGACCCCGATCCCTTCGCTCATGCTGATTAATTTTCTCCAAATGCCGAGTTCAATGTGCTCAAACTGTAAACATTCCTTCACTTTCACGCCTCGTCTAAGCGTTTTTTTGCTCTCAGTAATTGCGCATTCCTTGGAAATTAAGGGCTTCGACTTCTTAAAAATTGTACTGTGGAAGATCTCGAAGTGGCCTGCAATAGCCGACATGCATGCTAATAAAAGGGTTGGGGCAGGGTAAACTCGTCGTTCCGCGACTATTGAACGAGTGTCGTGTTTGTGATTTCGGGAAGGGGGTCGGGTTGGGGGGATTTTGAGATGAACAAGGTTATCATAGTGGAAAGGAGGTTTGACGGAGGCTGTTTTTACAGGTACCTGTTTTTTGACGAATTTGTGAAAGTTCACGAAGTATTGAGGACCATCACGGAAGCTTGGTAAGATCTGCCGCTTTATGATAAGCTTTATCCCCCCCCCCCCCACCCCCCCCCTCCGTCCGCTCGATGAACGTTTTGGAGGAGAAACTGGGCGGAGTTGGGTTGTGTCGACTGGTCTCAGAATCAAATACCATAGCAGCCGAGAGGCTGGGGTGATGGTCGGTAGGGGGATCGTATTGCGGGGCTCTCTTCAGCTAATGATGCTGGGGTGGTTGCATCGAGAACCCTTATGAAAGGGAGGGGTCGCATAGTTTTTGAGATAGTGCGAACGTCACGGTTGACCCTGGTAGAATCGAACCGATTGTCGCACCGCCACCCGTAGGCTGTGGCAAAGGCTACAGTCAGGGCTATGTAATGGAGAGATCGAGCTCTGCTTAGGCGTCTCAAACCTTCGATTCCTTATGGCTGAGCAGGATGGTGTCTAACGTGGAAATAGAAGTAAGTGGCAAAACTAGCTGTCAAGTCCAGCATGGTGCGTATGTGACGAAAGCCCGTAGAACCAGCGAGGAACACAAAGTACGCAAGCTTTAGCGAGAGGGCATACGATACACTGCCTGTGCATGGAGGGCGATAAGAGTGCCAGTTATGATCAACTGGTCCAAAGAATGCGTCTCCGACTCGGTCGCCCCGCCCGCGTGTCGCCACAATGCGCGGCGCCGCGAAGGGCGGCACTTTCCCGGTGCGCTGATTTTAAATTTGGCGGTTGAGCAATTGATTTACACTGGATCTCATAGGAACGGGCCTGCTTGGCGTTCTTTTCACATTCAAATTCAATGGGCGCGCACAGAAACTCGTCCACTGCTTGCGACATAGCGGCCATGACGGGTGTGCGTCATATGGCGCGATCCCATTGGCATTGGAGCGCACAGGCCGTAATTACCACGTCCTGCTGTGGCCGGACAACTCGTCCGCGCAACACATTCTGTTCCGTTCCTCTTGCCTTGGCATCAGGCCAGCGAAGCTATCCGCTCTTTTTTTAGATCTTGGGACTCAGCGAGATTTTTGAGACCCAAATTATCAGATCGATCAATTACTGAAGTCTAGTAGTTGAGTGATACGGACGAGTTGTCCGGCCGCAGCAGGATGGGCAATTGCGGCCTGTGCGCTCTAATGCCAATGGGATCGCGCCATATGACCGCCTCCGCCCATGACCAGTAGCCCGGGGATTCGGACGATCCTGTTGACATACACCGTAAAAAATGCTCCAATCTAAAAATTAATTGATTTTTGACAATTCCTCTCTTTGCTCTGAACACCTGAAAAGTTTAGCTTCGCACCCTAATTAGGATAGCTAGGACTTATCGATTGCATTCCTTCACTGAAGCTATAAGAAATCCATTCTCTTCAGCTGCCTCAGTGTTTTTTCATGAGCTCAGGTCTTGATTGGCGAATTAAGCTGCCTTAGGAAGTTGGCATTGCTCGTTACGAACGCCTTCCTATTACTAGGCTAAATTCAGCATTTCCAATCCTCAGGGGATCGACGTTCGGGGTGTTTTGGCGTAATCTTCTACGATGGGTGGTGACGTATGATGATTGATCACAAGCATCATTTCATCCACTTGTGTTGAGCAGCTCACCCAATCACTCATTCATTCCGTACTCCACAGGTGCCTTCAACGCAGTTCACTGCAGTAGAGTTCTTCTCAAGTATTTTCTGTTATGAGGTCCACCACTTCGTAAACACATTGTGCACATCAGGGTGAGAACTCAGCGCTCTCCACCGCTTCGGAGTGGGAAACTCCCCAGGGGAATCGGCTGGAAGAAACGCAAACGTGCTGTGAAGTTCCACCCGGGCACCACCCCTGCAATACTTCCTTCCCAGCCTATTCACTGCCCATGTCATCGCGACAGGTGAGAAATCGCTCAACTTAAGACCTCCTGCCAGTGCTGATTTTGTTGTTCAATGTGAGCACGGAAGTGGGAAAGTTAGTTTTCCACAACAATTATCAAATTAGGTCAAGTTGTTTCAGGCACTGACAGTTTTTCTGCGGGAGAATTGGCAGAATACCAACTACGAGACAATCGACGTCAAACTACTCAGGGATCCTGCACTAGGACTAGGCATTACGGTAGCCGGATATGTACATAGAAAAGGTTGGTATGCACTTCCGTTTTTGGTCACGAAGTATGTGTCCACACGGCAGCCCCAGTGAGTGGAGCCACGGCAGAAGCTTTTTTGAAGCCACGGCAGCTGCCGTGGCCCGTTTCGTTGGGTTGTCAGGTGAAAATGCTCAATGAGATGTGAAAAATTTATTGCCTTTGGTGTCGAAGATTTTGTGAGTGAGACGAATGTATGGCGGGGTCTTTCACGGGCGAATTTCCTATTTATACCCTCTGACATAAAAAGATTTTTTGTCTAGGCCTACTCTAGATAGTTTTTTTTCCTGGTTATTTGAAAAAGAGTTGTTTTGGCTCGCCACTTTCAGAATTTTTATTTTTTTCGGCTGTTATTTAACACTCTCGCGTTCTACGAGTTTCCTCACAATTTCCACCTTACTCGAGGGGAGGTAATAGCGGGGAAGAGAATACATATCATCCTGCCCCTCACTCCCCCGCCAAGCAAAACCACCGCCTGAAGCTGTGCTAATCTGTAGTGGCGAATTTTTTTGAGATTTCTGATTGAAGGGCTCCTAGAGCAGGCGTTGGACGCGACTGTAATTTAGGCGATGACCGTAGAATCTGTGGTTCCATCTAAGTATTAAGCTGTCTCACCTTCGATACTGCCACGGTTTGATTTGCCTAGCTTATCGCTACTGCCTTCATCGTCCGATTAATGGTTTCCGTCTCACAAAAGGGTGCACGTGAGTAATATCCTCTTCCCGGGTGAGTTCACTCTGAGTAAGGTTAGTTCAGCTTTGAATATGGGTTTACTGAAGTTTTTTTCTTGGAGTACCTACGAAATTTTCGAATCGATTCTCGCACATCCTCGTCCCACTGCGATTAGAGTCTGGAAGGTTCTGGAAAATGACTTCCGGTAGAAAATATATCCCACACACGAGACGTCCGGGCAGTGGCTTGTGTTATCTGGGAACCTTTAAAAAGCGCTCTTTGGACCTCACCGAATCACTCTCTAGTGAACAACTAACCAGTGATAGTAATACTATTTACACGAGCGTACATCAACAGGCTTTTAAGCGAAACGAATCTAGCCAATATTCTCCCCTTACAATTAGTAAATCGTCGATGCCCCCTTTTAAAGAAGAGCAGCCTTTCATCGTTGGCACCTTCAGTAGTAATATTAAGTTAATAACTCTCGAGAAATCCCTGAAGGGGATCTAGATTGTCGATCAGAAGGATGAGTGGCTCAGTTCGGAATTTTGGATTTTTGAACACGTAAAATTTGGCTACTTCGGCAATTCAACAATTGTACCCGTCCCTCCAGTGCCTGCACCGGCGATTCCGGACGAAATTGGAATCTGAGTTTCGGGAGATTGGGGATGTATCAGGTAGCAACAGATCCAGTAGCGCTGACATGTATCGCTTATGTAAGGGGAGGAGGATTAAAAAATCTCTGTTTGAAAGAAGGGCGCCTACTGTCTCGCATTCCTGCACATATTTACCTTGAACCCCGATCTCAAATGAATTATCTCCTTTTTCGGCACCTCTAGGTGATGGCATCTGGCTTTGATCTAAAATTAGCTCCCGTCTCGAGGGGTGCGCTTTGTCTATTCCGTTCATCCTGAGGTAATATTGGGTTAGCTGTTCTCCTTTGGGAGTCGTCCCATCCCTGCTGCTCGCTCTACATCAAGTGCAGGGCGCCCATTCCGTCGTAAATTTGCGTAGCAGCGTAAAGGTTGTAAGAAGTGGTTCATGTGTCGTAAAGCGACACGCCACATCCCTAGTTGCTTTTCGTTAAGAGGCAAGGTCCTGAGGGGAGTAATTTGATTTGGGGAGTGAATGACGACGAGGGGGGAGAGAGAACGAAGCGATAGCCGACGGGACGTCCGCTGTGGCGGTCGGCGGTGGCGCTTACGGCCACGACGCGAGACACGAGAGAGCAGTTAGTGAGCCAGAGAACCGAATTCGAAGAGGTGGTAGAAGAAGTGCACTTCAGAAGAGATCGGCGGCATCTTCGTCAAATCGCTCGTGCCACGATCGGCAGCCGCTCTGTCTGGTTCAATTCGCGTTCACGATCTTATACTTGAGGTGAGTACCCGGTTATTACCGTTCTTTCTACTTGTATCAGAATTTGATCAATAAATGTCCTTCGTTTGAATAGCTATGTAGCCGATTCGATAAACCCACAGTACACTTCCCAGTGTCCATTGTTATTCATGGCTATTGTTCCATTTTCTGGTACTTTATAGTCGTAGCGATCCATTTGGCCCAGAGGCCTCAAAATGACTCCGTAGTACTGCTGTGTCTCCCTTTAGTCCTTCTAGAGAGCTCAAACATGGAGCTCCTATACTTTATTCGAAGCATTTTCCACTTTGGTATGCCTTATTCGAAACTTTTTCTACTTTGAAGGTAGACCTTTTTTACTTTGGAGGTAGAAGAAGGGGGGGGGGGTGCGTGAACTATCGCCGCGCTTTTCACCACGGAATTCGGATTATCCAGTGAATAAAAAGGAAATACTTGTTTTCTTTCTCATTTTCTCGCCCTCGTATTTCGGAGCTTGAAATCCAAATTATCCAGGGTGAATGCGAGTATTTTTGGAGAGATTTGCAGCTAATGGCAGAAATTCCGGAAATCTCATTTATTCTTTTTGAAAATCCTGTTAGAATTGATCCAAAGCACGGTGGCCTCCCGGCTGACCGAAAAAAATGCCCACCCTCTCAAGGTCTCTGTCCTGGGCTATCCTTAGCATTCCTATTGAGTTCCTTGAGGTGATCTTCTCTGTTGACAGGTCCCTTCCTTGGCCCTTTTTTCTTCACCACCCTCTCTCCACGTTTCTTTTTCAAAGCTGTAGTAATGCTTTTCTTGTTACGCAACGAAATTCGCCATTGATGAATCCCCTTGGGATGCGCCATGCGTTCGACTTCCTTTCGGAGATTTTAAGGGAAAGGGTCGTCTTCTCGGACCACTTCGTGTTTACCTCTTTCTATTCACTGATAGGTTTCATTTAAGCGGTTGATGCTTGACAGGTAAAAGCTGTAACAATTTGAAGAACAGGGTTCGATCCTGCTAGCGATGCGATTGATAAGTCGGAGCACCCTCTCCCCCACCCCCTCATGACACAGCGTCTTTTGCAACCTTTACGATCAATCAACAACTCGCTAGCAAGCTTAAGGGGTTTCCACGGAGCAGTGGTTAGACGGGGAAGCCAAACGGATCCTAATAATCCCTTCCTCTTCGTATTACTCACAGCCTTGTTGTATTTATGATCTTCCCCATCTCTACTTACCTTGCGGTCGTGTAGGGCTCACAAGAGGGGAAGGCGGGAGGGCCAGGGGAGGCAACTTTCAGCCAAAAGCCTCGGTCTAACTCCCACGTCTCTGATTTGGAATACATCTTCAGTCTCGACCACAGTCGTTGCCATCATCCAGAAAACAAATGAATCAAAGGTTCAACTATTCCAAAGACCATGAAAACTTCCGGAAAAAGCTATGCGTTCTGGGACCATCAAAGTGTCCATCCAGTGAAATTCTCTATCGCGGTAATGTTGAGGAACTCTACCCCCCCCCCCAAATCCTTCATTCTAAAGATCATTAATTCCTGCATAAGAGTAGATGTTCCTTCACTTTGGAGCTTCTCCCTAGGAGAGCGTAACCCACTTCTCTTTTATTTTTTTCATTGCTAGCCCATTTTGAATCCTTTCCTTTCTTCTTTTCATTTTTCTCATTCAATCGGCTTTCTATTTTGAAACTAATATTTTGACTTTTTATTTATCCCAAACAAAAAGGTAAACATGTGATAATGAGCGAAATTTTTGCTCGTCACAGGTGAACGGCGTATCGTTGGAGCATCTGTCACATGCTGATTCCGTAAGAACGTTGGTGAGAAGCGGCGAAAACGTCCAACTACGCCTGATCCGTTTTCCTGTCGATAGCGCTCAAGCACAGTGCCTCAAAATGCTTCAAGAACAGGTCAGTCAGCGTTGGTTTGCTCTTCTGCTCTTCGATTTTTGCATCAATCTGCCATTGCTCACGTCGTCCACTCGTCGTGCCGGTCCCAAATCCACTCGTGGCTCAATTGAATTTAGCGCAAAGTCCGGCTCCCGATGCCCGAAATATGCTGTAGTGGCGCTGAGATATAATTTCTCACCCGGTGGACGGAATCAGGCTTCCAATTTTACGAACCCTGTTGGTACAAAAGTCGTGCGCTGGACGAGAAACCTCCACAGATTTCCCAGAGGGCAGCAGTACACTCGAGGCCATTCCATTCATATCGGGACAATTAATTTTTAAGAAATTAAATCTGTTCATGTGAACCAAACGATCAATTTCGTCTTCTCCTTCTACCAGAACAGTTATCGGCGCTAACTCAATATCTGGGGGCATCCCCTAGGACTAAGTCTAGGAGGGGCAAGAGCTTGGAGGAAAATGAGCATGGATCACACAGCTTGAGCCTTTC